CCCCCCCCCCACTGTCCCTGGTGCTGAAGGGCATTCTCTTTATGAGACATTTCGTCAAAATTGCATCATTCTGTTTCTTTGATGATGCTGCAGATTATGTACAACACCACTCTGTAATGAGCACAACTTTTGATGACACTGCAGATTGTGGGCACATACAGTCCTGAGATGTTCACGGAATTTTATGATGCTACAGATTATGTGCACCTTCCATTCTGATTAGAGCACAACTTTTGATCACGTTACAGATTGTGTGCAGCATCATTTTGGGATGAGCACAACTTTTGATGATGCTACAAATTATGTGCACATGTATCTCCATTCTGGAATGAGCACAAGTTTTGATGACGCCACAGATTATTTGCAGTGTCATCCTGGGATCAGGACAACTTTTGATGACGCTACAGATTATGTGACGTCCATTCCGGGATCAGCAAGATCGAGCACAAGTTTTGATGATGCTGCAGATTATGTGTTCATGCAATACCATTCTGTAATGAGCACGACTTTTGATGATACTACAGATTATGTGCAGCTATATTCTGAGAACAGCACGATTTCTGATGATGCTGCAGATTGTGTGCAGCATCATTCCAGGATGAGCACAACTTTTGATGATGCTCCAAATTATGTGTACATGTATCTCCAATCTGGGATCAGCACGAGTTTTGCTGACACTACAGATTGTGTGCAGCATCATTCCGGGATGAGCACGACCTTGATGGACTGGCTACTGCTGTTGACAAGGTCAATGCCCTTCACCACGTCAGACAGAGGCAGCTGCTGGGTGATGATGTCCTGCGAAACAACGGCAAAAAAAAACGTCAGGAAAGACAAGAGTTCACTCTGACTACAGAATAGCTGTACAGATTAGCTGTCTGGGCAAATATGATATTGAGTGGTACCTATCTATAGTAATTAATATTCTATTGTGAAGCAAGTTTAAACTGCAATTTCCAACACACACGCATGAAATTGGACTTATCCAAATTTTCAACTGTACAACTCTGGTCTATGTGCAAGGAATGAGCATAATGACTTCTAGATAAACTTTCAAGATAATATTCTATTGTTTCTGTGTGTTTCTGCAGTGAAAACATGACACTCATGCAAACAGGTCACACTTTGACAATTGACTGATGTCCTTTGCTATATTAAACACTTTGTTCCATTCTTAAAGAAAAGAAAGTTTTTTGATGACAGCAAGTTTCTAATGTACTGACCTCTATAGGGAGTTCCTTCTTGGCGATCATGGAGATTGCTTTGGGGTAGGTGTTGTAACCTGCAGGACAAACCAACAGGCCGGCAGGGAGGGTTAGGAACCATGAGTTTAGAACCAACCATACATGATCTGACATGAAATGATACTGTTGAATCCTACATATGAGGACATGGTATCCATAGGTAGAAGTTTTGTACTTACCCAAATGGCAGCCGTGAATGTTCAGTTCTGTAAACAAAATAACAAAATAAGGGACGTATATCCAGATAGAAACGCCTGAGCGTTACTGGTTCTCATGGATAAAACATGGTTTCAGGAAAATTTGATTGCAAAGACAAGATTGGTGAGGAAATAATCCTTAAGTCACTCTAAAATAGGTTAATGAACTCGTAAGCTTAGTAATGAAAACATCCCGAGTCTTTGTCATGCTCAACAGATACAACAGGTGATCATTGGAGATTCCTTAATAAACAAACAAACGTTTGGTGTCTCCGATGATGGTCCAGTCGACGGACGTCTCGTTCTTGAACACGCTGAACTCCACAAACGTGCCCAGCTTGGCAATCATGTGCAGCCTGTCAGGACAGAGACAACACAAAACGTATTCTCGTTTAAAGTGAAAACTTTTGGTCCAACACAAACAGTTTCAACCAGTCACTCTGGTCTTCCTCAGTAGACTGACTGACACTGTAAGGATTTTAGACACTGAACAAGATTATTTCCTGAGAGGGGTGAAGGAAGCCATTTACATCAGGGCCCATCACCCTACATTGAACCGCAACGGGGGCCGACATCGTCTACCAGATACCTTTGACCCAGTGTTGACGTCACACTTCAAAGAAGCCACGTGACAAGCTTCACTGGGTCAGTCTACTGAGGAAGACCAGAGTAACTGGTCGAAAGCTCTAGGTGAGAGAATTTTTTTGTGTTGGACCAAAAGTTTTAACTTTAAACATGTAACTACCAACACAGATGAACTTTCAAGATAGTATAAAAAAATGTATTCTCTATTTAATGGTAACAGTAAATTATAATAAATGTTTTTTGTGTGGGGAACAACACCAGTGAAAGCTGCCTGTGCCCCATGCATATTGTACTGTGACAATTCCATCAAATCAAATCAATCAAAAGTATTTGTTTGTCACTTCATCAGGACACATAAAGTTCATTTGTTGGTAACTTCTCAGTTTTTGTTTTTTCTTAAACATAAAGTGATGGGTAAAACAAAAAGAATAGCATTTGTTTGTTTCCACATTATGCATTTGTTTTGCAAATGTTACCTTTCTAGTAATCAATTAGAATAATTTATATTTTACATTCTACTGTTAATCTTAGTACTAGTATTTGTATTTCTGATCTGGATACATGTAACCTGAACTCAGTCATAGATACATGTAAACCATTACTGATTCAGAATAATCTTAGTTATCCGACCACGTACCCCTGTTTAACGGAGACAGGGCTGCCGGTTGCCTCGATGTAAACGTCACATCCGTATCCGTCTGTCAGCTTCTTCACCTCCGCGATGACATCACAGTTTCCTGGGTTTAACACGACGTCGGCGCCGCACTTCTTCGCAACATCCAACTGGGCAGACAAAAGGTGATGAGATTATCATATCAGATTCTGTGTTCATCTTGGTAGTTACATGTTTAGACTTAAAACTTAGATCCAACACAAAAAGTTCTCTCACCTAGATCTAGAGCCTTCAACCAGTCACTCTCACTGGTCTTCCTCAGCAGACTGACTCAGCCCAGTCAAAGAAGCCACGTGACAAGCCTCACTGGGTCAGTCTACTGAGGAAGACCAGAGTGACTGGTCAAAAGCTCTAGGTGAGAGAACTTCTTTGTGTTGGATCTAAAGTTCTAACTTTAAACAAGAGATGAGATTGTACTCATACTTAGTTAATACATGTATTACATCCTCAAAGTTTTATTGATACAATTTACTGGGAATACCAGTGATGCAGAATTTAAAATGTTTTGCCAACCTTTCTTCATGTAAACATTGTACTTGAAATTTTCTTTTCAATGAGTCTATTTTAGGTTATGTAGGAAAACACATTCAGTTGACTAATATCTGTTGCAGAAACCTTACCTTACCTTATACCTACTCCCATACTCATGTCTTAGGGTGCAGGACTATGGTAACATGAGTCAGGCATCTTGAACAGAGTATTTTTCTATCCAAAGTTCAAACGTACCTTCCAGTCATACAGATCCAGAGCGATCAGTTTCGCCGGGTTTTTCTGTTTGGCGGCTGCTACCATTCCCAGGCCGAGGGGGCCGCAGCCCGACACCACCACCACGTCCCGGAACTGGATCTCCCCCCTCTCCACAGCGTGAATGGAACAGGCCAGCGGCTCGATGAAAGCCGCGTGGTGAGGAGGGACAGATTTTGGCACCTTCAGGGTAAAAACATCAACAATATACTAACTATGTAAGATAGTTGTCACAATCAGTCACATAATATTGAGTTTTACATACTTTATACTTTATTCATAAAAATCAACATAGTATATGGTACAACTGAATTGTGTTGACCTAACAAAAAGTAAACACGAGTCAGCTTAGCAAAAGTACATTAGAGACATCACAACACTTACATTATACACAGAGGCACTAGGCCTTCATTTGGCTGTTGTATAGACGGATTGAGTAATGTAAGAATGAATTATACAGTCTGTTTGTTCTAGCCCTGGGTACCCTGATCCCCCCCGAGTTCCTTAGGTTATCAAACATTGCAAACTTAGGTTATCAAACATTGCACTGAATGCAGTAACTAAACCATGTTAACAGCTTGCATTCCTCTAACCAAGAATCAACACATAAACGTACAGCACAACTTCTATTTGACTCTTTCTTACAAAACAATTTAGTGCTCCCTCTGGGGACCAGTGTGCATGACTGCACAGTAACTGTGACGGGAAACTACAGATCTAAAGACATATGGGTTTTACCTATAGAACAATGCATCAACTAAACACAGTAATAACTGACCATTAAATGAAACATAGCCTGATATACACAAATGTGTAAACAGTTGTTCTGCCCACCTTGTGGATGATACTGTCGGATATGTACTTCATGTACCCTGCCATGGCTCCTGGAACGGGCAGGACAGACCAAGTCAAACCAAACATTCATCTTCTATCTGCAAAAAAACATTATAACCTCGAGCTTCTTGCTTCTGCACAACAAAGGAGGCTCATAAGAATAAGAACTAAAGATCTCAAGTCTGACGGCCTTACATTATGTACCTGGAGTTCGCTGGTGAAAGCCGAAGATGTCATGCGGCATGCCTGTAGCCAGAAAATAACAATAACAAGGAAAACAAAAACATTAATTTTCTCAATCCTTTGACTGATCTGATGCTCTTCTGATGATGTTTTGAAAGATCCCAGTAGGAGACACTCCAGCAAAGGAAGGATGCTGTACATAAATGTATTTCCCTCCCAACTTCCCTCCCATGTATGGATATAATATAAGGGAACGTACACATGTGGTATAACAGTACGTACACATGTGGTATAACAGTACGTACACATGTGGTATAACAGTACGTACACATGTGGTATAACAGTACGTACACATGTGGTATAACAGTACGTACACATGTGGTATTGCCCCCTCACACAATATAACAGTACGTACACATGTTGTATTGCCCCCTCAGACAATATAACAGAACGTACACATGTGGTATAACAGTACGTACACATGTCGTATAACAGTATGTACAAATGTGGTATAACAGTACGTACACATGTGATATTGCCCCCTCAGACAGTATCGGCACTTCCAGCATGGCACGATGCTCTCAGCGATGGCCTGATCTCCCAGCTCCAGGGAAAACTTCTCTGCAGCTCCTGAAGAACGGAAACAAATGTACCTGTGGGCTACCGTACTACACACAGCACTAATGTACCTGTGGGCTACCGTACCTTGCACAATACTAATGTACCTGTGGGGTACCGTACCTGGTCTCCCAGCTCAAGGGAGAACTTCTCCGCAGTCATTACAGCACAGAAGGCAAAGTCAGGGTCTACTTATACAAATGTACCTCTGGGCTACCGTATCTGTTCTCAATAATAATGTACTAGTAGGCTACCTTACTTGATCCCAGCACTAATGTACCTATGAGCTACCATACCTGGTCCCAACACAAATGTACCTGTGGGCTACCGTACCTGATGCCAGCACTAATGTACCTATGGGCTACAGTACCTGGTCCCAACACAAATGTACCTATAGGCTACGGTACCTGGTCCCGGCCTTAAATGTACCTATGGGCTACCGTACCTGGTCCCAGTGCGACCACCTCCCCAATAAACTCGTGCCCGGGTACGATGGGCGGCTGGCAGTACGGCTCTCGGTCCTTGTCACCTGGGAATGAGAATGGCAACAGATCAGACATGTCAAAAAAGATAGATCAATGAATAAAAAAAGGTAGTTTACAAATAAGGAGACACAGAATAGCGGCACCCCGGAGAAGCACTTGGTATCCCCGGCACAGATCTCACAGGATTCATCTTAACCAGAACCTCCTCCAGCACTGATGTACCTGTGGGCTACCGTACCTGGTTCCTTCACTAATGTACCTGTGGGCTACCTTACCTGGCCCAGCACTAATGTACCTGTGGGCTACCGTACCTTTCTCATCACTAATGTACCTGAGGGCTGCAGTACTTACCCCCCTCGCTAATGTACCTGAGGGCTACCGTACCTTTCTCATCACTAATGTACCTGAGGGCTGCAGTACTTACCCCCAGCGCTAATGTACCTGAGGGCTACCGTACCTGTTCCCATCACTAATGTACCTGTGGGCTGCAGTACTTACCCCCAGCACTAATGTACCTATGGGCTACCGTACCTGGTCCAGCACTAATGTACCTATGGGCTACCGTACCTGGTCCAGCACTAATGTACCTATGGGCTACCGTACCTACCCCAGAACAGCGGAGCCCCAGCGAAGCACTTGGCATCCCCTGCACAGATTCCAACGGCAGTCACCTTCACCAGAACCTCCTCCGGTCCAACGGTCGGCACGTCAAGCGCCTCCATGCGGTAGTCACCTGAAGTGCAGCGGGGCATGCTCATGTTGGGTCCAGTTTTCACAACACACCTTCTCTGGGACACTGGGTGCCCTTTCACCCAAGGTCAAAGTAACTCAAGCCACATGATAAAACATTATTTGTAAATTATCAACCGGTACAAAGTACACCTTTACATTTACATACACCCCGGGCTGTGTTTTATCCTCAGCTCAAATTGCGCAGGCAGGGTTCTGGATAGTCCGCACATATCCAGAACCGTTCCGCACATATCCAGAACCGTACCTAAGGCAAATCTACGTTCTTGGATATCCAGAGACTATCCAGAACCGTACCTGAGGCAAATCTACATTCTTGGATATCCAGAGACTATCCAGAACCGTACCTGAGGCAAATCTACGTTCTTGGATATCCAGAGACTATCCAGAACCGTACCTGAGGCAAATCTACGTTCTTGGATATCCAGAGACTATCCAGAACCATGCTTCAGGGGCAAATCTACGTTCTTGGATATCCAGAGACTATCCAGAACCTTGCCTGGGGCAAATCTACGTTCTTGGACACGCGGAGACTATCCAGAACCGTGCCTGATCCTAATCCTAACCCATTGAGGCATAGGAACTACATGTAGCTAAACAGGCGTACGGTTCTGGATATGATGGCCCCGCCCCCTTTTCCGAACGGTACAAAGAGCAGACATGATAATATGTTATGGGAGTCAACTTTTCCAACTTTCTTCTGCCAAAACCTGCTGATTTTTGTAACAAAAGACATTAGATTTGTCAGATAAACTATTTGTGAACCGACTGGAAAAGTCGACTGTTTTTTTCGCTGGTACAAACATCATAATTTTGTTGACATTTTCTGTTGTTCCTTGCCTGGAGTTATCTCATGCGTTACCTGACGTAACTAGACGTTACCTGACGTTAAACGTTACCTGGCGTTAACGTTACCTGGAGCGTAGCAGACCACTCCTTTCATCTTGGCGGGGATCCCTGGAACCGAAGACATCTTCAAGGCGTTGAAAAACACTTCAGAAAACCAGAGATCGAAAACTTTGACGCAGTCGTGGCAGGCAGTGTTCCAAAGGTCACAGGGGTACAAAGGGTAAAGGTCGCCCTCTGGTGGGGACGCCTGTTTATCCATATAGTATCGCGATCGGCCCTATACCGCATAAGGTATTACATAAACGACTGAAAGCCCATGATACGTATAGAGATTGGATAAAACTGTTTAATCATTGTTGCAGTGGATGTATATACTGTGTGTGAGTGGGAAAGAGACCATACAAGACTTGTCCAGAATAGTTTAGGACAAGTCTTGGTACAACCGTTTTGTGTTCTACAACGTACTTATTGTGTAACGTTACACATCTAGACGTTTGCTGGAGAATATATATTAAGAAAAAGTGGCTAAAAGCTATCACTGTAGATTATCATAAAATATATATTTGTAAAAAATTCAAATTTATTCAGAGTTATATAGTTATATATAGGTTTAAAATATTAGACACAGGCACAGAAGCCAAAATTGTTCAACTGTTGTGGTGTCCTGCGCCCTGCAACCGCCAGTTGGATTTAGGCACGTAACACTTCGCTGCTGTATTAATTATGTTTACCGAAGGAAAGCATATTGTTTTTACTCAGTTTCTTCCCCCTCCTCTTCTGTTCCAAACACTGACCTCTGACCTGGCCAATGACATTATTTGTTGACGTCTGTCACCATGGTGACTGGTGTTGGGTTACATAATGTTGCAGTTTCATGGTCTGCTCTGCTTCTGTCACCATATACTCGTAGTACATGTATGTGAATGTGTTTGAGTAAAAATGAAGAGGACAGACCATGTCCGAAGGTAAACATGCATTTGCTTTGCAAATGTTACTTCTCTAGTTACCTATCTTATCGATGCATCGGGATAATGCAGAAAACTCACGTGTCGCCAGAGGGCGTCTGGCTCTGCTACTTGTGCCTTAATCTCCAAGCAGATGTTACGGTGGCAGAATCGTACCAAACCGACAGAACACTATCCAATTTCATACACACCATATACATATCATATACCAGAATACATCATATAGTCATGTATTAATTAACAATTATTATTCTGAATAAAATGATAAATTTTGTTGTAAACTAATTTGTCACGACCAGATATAAGCATGAAGAACGTGAGTCTATTTAATCCATGAGCTTCCCCCTAGTCACTAGTCTGTTGTTAATATTTGCAACAGCGTTCCAGGCAGGATAAATCAGGTTCTCAGAGATCCGCAGGACTCCATCGGCTTCTGCAATAAACAAGTGATTGGATCATTTATTCGGTTCTGGCAGACAAGTGAAAAGAGTTGAAGTTGAATGATATAGAAGTACTCTCATCTTTCTTTACTTTATGAATAGATACGGCTAGTTGATACCCCTCATGCTTGTAGGGTCAGGGACAGATATAGGTTCTCCCTTCTGTATTCTACCGGGGTTTTGGAAGCTCACTTGACTCTCATGGACTCATAAACAACTGCCCGGGGTAGTGGCACGTTCCCAGGACCCATGAATGATACGCAGAACACGGTATTAATGGGCGACCCCCCGGGTCTATAACGCGGGTATAGAAAAGAGTGCGTACAAGCTTCTTGAAGACTGGGTAGCAGGCTTTGTGCTAGAGGCAGCCAGGTGCCAATTGTGGTGTGAGGTATAGAACCATGTCGGCTGTCAGACCGTATGATTTGGATTGTGTAGTTTTTCCCGTTCGTGTATAAATACGCCAGATGACGCAACTGGCCTTCCGGGTGATCCGGCTGCAGTCTGATTGAACTCGGTAGAGGGCGATATTAAAGAGAGCGTCAAAAGACAATACGCCGACAGGATTTTTGTTTTTTTTTTTTGTTTTTAGATATTTTGTAGGTTATGCCTTCATCTCAAACATATTCGTTTTTCGTACCCCTGAAGTGCACCCTACTGTCAGTATTTGCGTCGAAGTGAGTCACCTTGCAGTCCTTAACCATAGAAATCCCCACAGGGCGAAAACTGTGTTCTGCTACCTTCAAGTCTAAAAGCCTTTGAAAATGGCGCGTAGAAAATCCAGGCAATGGCGGTCCGTAGAGAAAATGGCGGTTTGTTGATACCAAATGCAGTGAACCTTAAAGTCACAACAACAAGAACAGTAAAACAAGTGTTGGGGCCATAGTGCAAGGGTCATTCTCTGTACTTGCTAAACCCACTAAAAAGGACATGATCAAACATGCCGGGTTTTTTTTTTTGCCTGTTTTTTTTGGGGGGGGGGCAAGATTATTAGTGGGGTCGTGTGGCGTAGCGGCAGAGTGCGAAACTCGCGACTTTACTCGGAACTAAGAGTGCCGAGTTCGAGTCCTGACATGCCACCGATCTTGTGCCCTTGGGAAAGGCACTTTACACGGCTTTCCTCACTTCACTCAGGTGAAAATGAGTATGTAGAGTATTGTACTGTCCACTGTGTTGGTTGCGGCATTAATATAAGTTGAAAAAACTTGAGTGTGCCGTCACCACGTATTGTGATTAGATGTTGGAATATAAAAAAAACACATAATGCAACCTATAACATAACAACGTAGTTATGATGAGGTAACAGGTCGTGATTTGACCATGTCGCGATGTTTGCTCTAAGCTACGCCGTGTTGACTCAGTAACCTCGGACTTCGCCTGTGCGCTTGAGCTATTTGCTGACTTCGTAGTTTCACTGCCGGAAAAACACCCTGACGTAACGTATTTGCGTTAGTGGGGTCGTGTGGCGTAGCGGCAGGGTGTGCGACTCGGAACTATGAGTCCCGGGTTCGAGTCCTGACATGCCACCGATCTTGTGCCCTTGCATTGGGAAAGGCACTTTACACGACTTTCCTCACTTCGCTCAGGTGAAAATGAGTATTGTCCTGTCATGTATTGTCCCGTGTTGGTGGCGGCATTAATATAAATTGAAAAAACTTGAGTGTGTCGTCACCACGTCTGGTGATTACATGTTGGAATAAAAAAAAGTATTTCTGCCTTCTACCAAAGAAAAGTGTACAGAAGGCGTACAAATGCAGCTGTGCGGCTAACAGCAGTATCTCATCTTGCCCCCCCCCGACTTTTTTTGGGGGGGGGGGCCAAGATTATACCGGAAAAAGTTAACAGTAATTAATAATACATTGATACATTTTTTTATTAAGCGAGATTAAAAATAAAGAGATAATTTATTGCCATACGTATACCTGCCAGTTAAGCTAACTACATATCAATATCCATGTATTATCTTGAAGTCGCCTTTTCGGAACTGCCTTATCACATTAATTCTCAGCGAAACAAATTAGTTCTGCTCGATGGGCCGTTTCAAGCAAGCTCGCGGTTATCATCACCTTCTCTGTCCCCTTCGCATACTTTTATAACACTATGTACAGTATTCTGAGTGGGGGTGTTTTTTTTTATTCCAACATGTAATCACCCGACGTGGTGACGACACACTCAAGTTGTCAACTTATATTAATGCCGCCACCAACACAGAAGACAAATACATGACAGGACAATACTCATTTTCACCTGAGCGAAGTGAGGAAAGTCGTGTAAAGTGCCTTTCTCAAGGGCTCAGGATCGGTGGCATGTCAGGACTCGAACCCGGGACTCTTAGTTCCGAGTCGCGCACTCTGCCGCTACGCCACACGACCAAACGACATGTGGGGGTGCTTGTTCATGGTCATTGACTATTGACAGGACCATCCTGTCAGAAGTGCCTTTATTCTGCGCTATTGACTATTGACTGGACTTTTTTTATCTTTTAACCAGTGCCATTTTGGGCTCTATTGACAGATATGTTTTTTTTTTTTTTCGTTTTCATTTTTTAACCAATCAGAAGGCAAATGCTATTGTACTGTATATTTGGCATTTCACAATGGTGGCTACCAGCACAGCGTAACGTCGCAATACCATTACACTCTGGCGCCGTGTACCCAAGTGCATTCGAAGGCGATTTGGTGATGGCTTACACGAACGCAGAGACAAACAGACAAACGGACAAACGCTACTGAAAACACAACCTTCTTGGCGAAGGTAACGATGGCAGAGCAGGTGACTCATTAGCATGGAAAAACACAACAGTTGACTTGGGCAGTGAACCAGACATCCTGGGCCTGTTTACGCTGCAGCACTGACAGAACTAATTAGAATTCTCGCTGAAGAGTTACTGGCCCCGCAAAGTGTACAAACCTATAGTTACTGTACGGATATAAACAATACCAGAAAACTTACACACGTATACGTACACACACGTACGTACGTGACAATTTAACCCTTGGGATACGATTTTGTCTAAATAAACCATAAACTCTTAGAGACAATACATTACTAGTGTAACAGCCTAATGTACTGGGAACTTAGCATCTGAAAATCTGAATAAGTGCAAAATTTCGTCAACTACACGCGGTTCTCGGTGGCTTATATTGTATGGTATAGTACTGTAAATTCATTTTGGTTCGCGGGGATAAATTTCGCGTTAGGAAAGGAAATACTTTTTTTTCGGTGTTTTAAGTTCGCGGTTGAAACAGTACTTCAGCATAGAAGTGCATTTACAGTTAGTTGGAGACATTCTATTGTTTCTAGCTTGTTTCTGTACACACACACACAGAGACAGACAGACACGAACGCCTCTGAAAACATAACCTTTAATAGCGAAGGTAATAAGAAGCCAAACTTGCGTGGTGAGCTTTGTTCTGCTCTTCATTCTAATACTGTTTGGCCTTTCCAGACTCGGTCGTGTTCATCCTCATATAACAAAAGAACAGATGTCACTGTAGATTAAGGGCTTAGAAATGAGCTCCTGACGTGTTATCTTGCAATGGATCAAACCTGTCTTTTGTTCTTGTTGTGTTTTCGTTAAAGTACAGGAAGTCAAGTTTGATTCAATGGTAAAAAAAAATCAAATCACTCCCTTAGAGTCCCACTCTCCAATTTTGGCCCCTCTCGATTATTTCGAGTTCATCTTTATTTATTATCACACAATAGAACAGATGTAACTGTAGACTGAAGTGAAGGTAGTTTTAGGCGCTTCTTCCTTTCCTAGACGATCGTTTTGGTGCATCACCTGTTGCGTGTGCATCAATCCAAGTT